AAGGCTGGAGAAAGTCTGGAAGTAAAGGAGGGGTGGAGGATGCATCCTGTTACAAGGACATGAGCTGGAACAAGTATTCCTGCCTGCAGACCCAGGAGATGAATCTGCTGGCAGAGCCCATCAGGGTATTCAGCTGTTTCATGTGAATATTCCCTTTTTGAGGACTCTGCACACACACTCCAGCAGAGACAAGCTGGGATCATTAGGACACCACTTTGCAGACTAACTGGTGAGCCTTAAACCCCAGTGTATTTGTCATGCAACATAAGGACAAGGCCTGAGTGGTTCATGTACAAAGAAACAGCTTGATGAGGCACATTTCCCCCTTCTTAGCTGGTAGAGAAACAACAAAGGGAGACAAAAAGTAGCAGTTATGGAAGCACCCACTAGAAATGGTGGAATTCTGCAGCACATTTATATTGGGAGCCTATGAGAAAGCCTTGAGAGTTCCCCATATTCTCCCTTTCAAACCATGTTTATTTACACAGGGTACAGAAAGTTCTAGCCAGCATTTTCCCAGTTAATACGAAATGATCAGAGTTTTGGCCATGTTCTTGCAGCATTTACTGCAGGGCCTGATGGACTCCAGCTGACCTGGTGTGAATTGTCTGCAGGTGACTGCAACTGGTTGAGCACTTTAATCAGCTACTTTGCCCTTCCTCTCTCTTCCCCTGCCCCCTCTCCTTTCCCCCTAAAGGAGAACTCAGTCTGTGATGGCTGTAGCTCTGCTGCCAGAAAGAAGCAATAGGGCTAAATTTGGTATTTTCCCTTCTTTGTTTCTGGAATGACCATCAAAAGCTACTTAATGCTTCTCTGCTATGAAATCACAGCACTGGAGTGAGGAGACCTGCTGAGATTCTCAGGTGCAACAATGTGCTCATGAAGACTTGCTGCAGCCTCCAGGAAGAAGGATTACCAGTCTTTAGGTGAGAGTTTTGTTATTTTTAATGCCTCTGAGCAGTGTTTTTGTCAATGTTTCACATTTTTCCTCAAGTGTATCAGGAGAGTTTTACCTGCAGGCGGCCACAGAACTACCTGCAGCACTCTGCAGTGCACCATGAAGCTCTTTAAGAGTGAAAATATTCCCTGGTTTAGATTAATTTGCAGATTCCTGAATTGATGAGCAAACTTCCAATACTATGTAGCAGATAGATGGAAGAGCTTTAACGTGGGGAATAAAAGAGCAGTCTTAATTGCTTGTCAAAGCGAGTGGGGAAAATAAAAGATCTTGGTGATGTGGCTAGATGTTTCCTTGCTGCTGTTGGGTAATAATGTGAAATAATGTGGCAGTTTCTCCAGTTTCACCTTTGATGGTTTGCTACTTCACATCTTTTTGCCAAAGGAGTGTGGAATAAAGGTTGTTTAAAGGATAAAAAGTCAGTGAAGAGCCTTTTGCTAAGGTGTTTCTGGATTCACTTGGAGGAAGCACTTGTCCTTGGTTAGTTGCTTCATTTCAGTAACATGAATATATGTGTTGGAGTCCAACTGTGCTTTTACTAGGTTCATGAAGGGATAAGTATGATGGCATTGGTTAAAAAGTGTTGGATCAAGTTGTATCCTCTGCTTTTGAACTGAAGGAGAGATGTTGTCATCGTTCCTCTGGGATACAGCATGGTTAAAGATAAATCTCTACTGTATTGCATCTGCACTGTCAGGAAAAGTAAAGGTTGAGTGTGGCTGCCACTTCTCTTGACACAAAGGTGCTAAGTGGCTAATACTTAATAATAACTGATAGTTATTATTAAGGCTGATAGTTGGTAGCAGTGTACCTAATGTGCCACCTCATATTGCACTAGTACATGTGGCAACCTTTGTGGTATGTAAGTGGACATTGAGACAATGTTGATTATTACTGTGATGCTGTGTAATCCAACATACTGTCTCCTCTTCCCTTGCTTGTCTCTGCCACAGGTACGTGCTCTGGGCTGGTTGGTTTCTCTCCAGCCTTTTGGAAGTGCAGAGATGTGTAATAAATGTGCATTCACATGTATTACACAAAAGATAAGGTAGAACACTTATAATAAGGATCAAAAGTGCTCAATGTCCTCACTGGCTCTGAAAATACTTAAGACAAAAAGGAAATAGTGCTGCTGGGGGGGCTCTGTTAGGCAGGGGTAATGATCCTGCAGTCAAGAAGGTGAGCAGAGCAGGCCCAGTCCATCAGCTCTGTCACCTGTGTCCACAGCTGCATCACATAGGCTCTGATAGTCCTGGTAAAACACTGTAAGAGCTAGAAAGTCTGGACAAGGAAAGCAACAGCAGCTCTGCACAGCAGTGTTGTGAGGCTGACAAGTGCTTTGGGATCCATAAACATGCTCTTGGTGAAGCATGGAGAACCTGTAAGTATCAGATGTAGCTTCATACTCACTGGTGTTAAGTTAAATGAGGTTTTGCTATTGGCAGCAATAGTTGAGTTGGAGCCTTTTCCCTTAGTGATTCTAGAAGTAGCACTTTCCTAAGTAGCTGCTAATGAGCTGGGAGGGGGTGTGTGGAGCTGCTGTCTTAAATGGGGCAACCACTGTCAGCTGGTCCCCGAAGTGTTAATGTGGTGGGGCTGGTTCAGTCCTCTCTCCTCTGTGTGACAAAGTGGATCACAGGGGTGGAGGGATGAGCTGAGCCTGAAGGAGCTGGGAGGGGGTCCCTGGAGGGACTGTGGGTCTGCTCAGGTGTCACAGCTCAGCCAGACACCATCAGAAACCTCTGTACCTCCGAAAGAACCTGCTGTAGATTATAGTTCTGAACCTCTTCCCTTCCTTTAGCAGCATTTAGGCTCTGATTGTGACACAATGAAGAAAGGTGTCCAGTGGTGGGTGGAAGGGCCAGTTCCACTGCTGGGAAATGTAAAGATAGTCAGAGACAGCAGTAGTGGGACAGGGGGTGGTTTCCTCTGTTCCGTTGTGCAGGTTTGATTCTAGTCACTCATCTATGCAGAAAGCCCTGCCCAGGGGATGTGTCTGTAGCTGGCAGGCAGTGAGGGGGGTCTCTCTGGTATAAACAGGTAGACTGACAATTGCAGATGACTTCTGCACACACAGAAATAGGCTGGTGAAATTCTGGACGTACAAGATTCCCTAATGGCAAAGAGCCTGCAGCAGAGGGTTAGATCCATACCCTTCATTGAACTCAGCACTTCAGAGGATCATCATTTGTCCAGTAACTTATGTGTAAACCTTCGTATTCAGGACATATACTAGATACAAACTGGCTGTAGCTAGCAAGCACCTTCTGTAAGGGGGCTATCGATGTTTTTCTTGTACAAGTATTTCTTTGTCATGCCTTTGGAAACTACCACTATGTTCTTGTAAATCAGATGTTCAATGGGGCAAACCCAACTGCAGGTGCAGTCAGGGACTGTGTGTTATGTGTATGAACACAGGTTAGAAATGCTTCTCTGCTGATCTTTGCATGGTTTTAGAGATGGGAGGAACTTTCTGCTCTGCCTTTGGACAGTGTGATTTGCCCACTTCCCTTCCGTGTGTCTCGTCCTCATTTCCATGTTCTTTGCAAACACACGCTAATGGAACACAAATGAGTGAAGTGAAATTTGAATGGGTGATCTGCTCTTCATGTCATGCTTACAGCTGCCTGGGCATGTCAGAGTGGTTTCTGTGAGTTTTGTGAGAGAGCAGTCAAGAAAATACAAAAAGAAATCTTTTCCATGGAAAACGTAACACAAAGTTAAACACTGACTTTGGGAAGTTCAGCTTTTTGTTTCATGACAAAGAAATCAAACAATGTCATATTGTAAAAGACAGGTGAAATGATTATAATTATTTCCATTATTAAATCTAAACCTTTGCAATATTATTTATGACAAAAACCTCAATTTTACTGAGATTCTGACCTGAATAACTACAACTGTTCCGACTTGGAATGAAATCTCTTGAGAAATACAGTTTCTTTCTTGTGTTTTGTTTCAATAGTCGGTGATGTGTAAGGACCAGTTCCCAGTGAATCTGCTGCAGAGGGGTACTGATGATACCATGAGCTACATGAGCAGTGGTTATCATCAGAACCTTTGCTTGGCCTTTCCATCTTTTATTTAAGAGTAAAACCAGGGAGACTCCTTGATCTGAACACGGTCATTTCCTTGTGCTTCAGTGTGTGTGTGACACATCAATTTCTTTGTGTACTCTTCTCCTCTGTCCTTAACTTCCTGTCTACCTTTCCACAGGACCTCTAAACCTCAGTCAAAATGAGCAAAACTTACTCAGTACCAACCTGGTAACTTGTATCCCCTCTCTATGAAGAGTAGAGAGGGCAGCCCCAGAGGATCAGTGTGTTTTGTCACAGCATCGTATTTACAGGGACAGTGGGGAAGGTTGTATCAAGGGTCCTGGTGGCCATTAGGACCAGTTTCACAGCCCAGGTGGTGAGAAGTTTGCATTGGCTGTAGCTGGTAAAAGAGACCCAGAGCTGTAGGATGTCATTGACTCCAGCTTTAATAAAGCAAGTACTCACGGAGATGTGTACAGGCTGCAGTGAGAGAGCTTGTGTGCGACCTTGGCTTGTGTGTTACCTCCCCTCATCTACCTCCTGTATCTAACGGGAGCAGACCTGCACAGGAGCTCTTTTCTGCTCTTGTTTGCTAGGAGGAAGTCTGTATAGAGGATCCTGTGTAGACAGGTACTCTTACAGCCTCGTGATTAATGGTACTCTATTTGTGGTCTATAATCTCACACCTTTTCAGATGATTCTCTTTTGGTTTTCTAGTTATTGTGCTGTTGAATATCTTCGAAAGTTCTCTCAAGGCCTGGGAAAGGATGCATGGATGTATCTGGAGCAGTTGTCTAGCCTTGTGGGTGATGAAACAGGCAGTTAGCTGCAGAGAGCATGGATGCTGCTCTGCTTGGGGTGTTTCGCTTTAGCTCATTAAGTAGAACCTTGTGCTTTGAGCTTAAAAGTTCTGCTCCTGGTGTCCAGCCTACTGGATGAGGCTGTATTTTGTATGTTGATTGTGTCTGGGACCATAGAGCCATCATAAACAGCATTATCTCATTCTATTGAGGAGGAGGTGATGGTGAATCTGGTTTATTGTCTCTTATTGAGGAGTCCTCTGGCTCCTCTTCGATGGAATTCTGGAAATAATCCACTGTGTTGAGATGAGGCTTATGCAAGATGATGTAGCATTTAGGGACATAGTAGGTCACCAGGATGCCCAGACTGGTTACCAGAATGGTACCAATCTGAGCCACAGGCCTGAGCACTGTCTTCAGTGTCACAAATACAGCAACGAAGAAGATGCAGATGATGAAATAGATGAGGAAGGCAAATGTGATCCCTCTGGCAAAGTTGTACTTGTTCCCAGAGGATTGGACCATGAACGTGCACAGGAAGCAGACAGAGCCCAAGCAGCCGTTGTAGCCGTGCATCAGAGCAAAGGCAAACCAGGACTCTGTGTTACACAGGAGCAGAACCTCGGTGGGCAGCGACTTGTAGTCAACCACCAGGTAGTCGGGGCCCAAGTGGAGGTAGCCAAAGCAGAACAAGCACTCAGGGAGCAGGCACAGGGCAACAAGGAGCCAGGCCCTCCTCTGGGTCACCCAGTGCAGGAAGGTGGGGGCACAGTGAGGAAACTCTGTCACAAGGGTGATCTCAAGGGACTTGATGAAGAAGGTGGAGAAGCAACCGCTGAGGCACAGGGTGTAGACTATGGGCTGGATCATACAGACCGTGCTGCTGGGCTTCCCTATGTAGAGACAGCAGCTGAGGCACAGCAGTATGAGTGTGAACAAGGCAAAGAGGCTCAGTTTGCCTCCAGAGGCCTGCACAAGGGGAGTCTCGAGGTTCTTCAGGAAGAGCGCTGCTGCCAGACAAGTCAGGGTCAGGGTGATGCACATCAGTGTCAGCAGGGCGATGGTGAGGGGCTCATCCCAGAACAGGTACCTCTCACTGCGGTCGTAACATTGCATGCTCCGGGCAGGGGACCACTGGTGCTGGAGGCAGGAAGTGCACGTGGAGCTGTCTGCAAAGCAGCAGTGAGAACCTGGTGAGCACCTCGCTGCAGGGAGTGCTGCAGCCCTTCAGGATGGAGCAGGCAGGAGTTGGGTGCTGCTTTGCCTCCTTCCCCCCTTCCTAAGTGTATGGGACTTCCAAAGTTTGCGATAGTTTAATCTCTTTTCCCCCCTCTGCTTCTCCAGCCTCCCCCTAAAAGGACCCACATATTTCTTGGCTCTTTTTTCCTTGTGCCCAGGAAGGATCATCAGCTTCTGAAAGATCCCAGACTTTCATCATAGGCCTCAATTCTACCTATGACCCCAGAATTTCATCATACCCTTCTCCTACCTCTTGAGATAAAACATAGCATTGTCCTTACACATTCTCTTTGGGATCAGTAAAGGAAGGTGCCCCACTAAAGACCTGCAGAGCAAGACTGAGCAATGCACAGAACAAGAGAGGCAAATACTCTGTTCTGTCCTTACCAGTCCTGTGAACCTGTGTGATCTCCACCAGTTCACAGACATAATACCCAGTCAAATCCATCGAGTTTCCCAGACCTCACCTTTAGCATTCCAGAAGCTGTTCTCTGGACAATCTATACAGTCATAGCAGCAGAAGTGGAATCCTTTTATTTGCCTGACCTGTCCTGGTTTACACTTTGTGAAGCACTCTGATGCGGGGTCCTAGACACGAGGAAGAATCAGCGTCAGGCAGATGCTTTCAGAAGCACCCTATCACCAAACACTAGAAGCCAACTGTGCTGGGATCAAACCTTGCCTGGCACTTAAAGAGCTCTGGGAATGCCTTTTCATAGTTTAGCACAATGGAGATGGATTACGTGTTTGCAGAGGAGCAAGAGCTGGGTCCCACACAAACCTTGTGGGAGCAGCATGCAGGCAAAGAGCTCCTTGTGAACAGTCCTGGCGAAGTGGCAAAAGAATTTACTTCACTTGGTGATTGTTTATGCTTTTATCCACTGTTTTACCTTTTGATTCTCAGTGTGAAACTCAATCTGGGACTCATTGATGTATAAGGACTCTCCGTAGTCACCCACAGGCAGATAGTGAAGGGTGTTGTTTTTCCAGGACCAGAATATAAGCCTGAAGCCAGTGTTTGTGCCATGGGATTGATCAAACCTGAACTCTTGGCCGTTCACCGTGAAGGGAAAGTTATTCATGAACTGCAGCAGCTGAGGAGAAAGTGAAAATGGACAGTAAGTAGTGGTACAGTTGATGTTCCTCTTGGAGGATCACAGTGCAGTAAGCTGAAGTCTGGCTGAAATGAGTTGTCCCTTAGGTGGGCCGTGATTGTGGTTATGGGCCTTCTGGCTGGATTATCAACTGTTTGATTAGTGGGAGCCAGAACGTAGCTTAGAGAGGGGAGAAAATTCTTCCCTGTGAGGGTGCTGAGGTGCTGGCACAGGGTGCCCAGAGAAGCTGTGGCTGCCCCATCCCTGGCAGTGTTCAAGGCCAGGTTGGACACAGGGGCTTGGAGCAACCTGCTCTAGTGGAAGGTGTCCCTGCCCGTGACAGGGGTTGGGGCTGGAGGAGCTTTAAGGTCCCCCCCTTCCCTCTCTGCCTGCCTGCAAACTGGGTGAAACCCCGCAGTTTGTCCCCTTCCCTCACCTGCCAAGACCTGACGCGTGCTCTGGGACACGCGTGCTGGGTGCACCCCAGGGCTCGGTGCAGAGCATGGGCCACGCTGTAGACAGCGGCGTGCACGGGCTGCACTTGTGCTCGGTGCAGCGTGGGCAACACGTCGTGCAGCGAGACGTGGTCGCACTGCCTGCAGCGCACGTCCAGCGGGTCTGGGTTCAGGAGGTGGTTCTCTTCCGTCGACTCCTGGCAGAACTCTTCTGAAGAGGTCAGCAATGTATTCCTGGAAGCCAGGGAGTGGGCTTGTTTTCATAACAAAGCCTAAGACTGTCCCAATGCTCTGAATATTTGGGATGGAGGCAGCTAAGTCAGACAAAATCCAGGTTTCGGTGCCAATCCAGACTTTCTTGCCCAGTCCCATCCTGATGCTGTGTTCCAGCAAGGCCTGAGCTGACAGACTATGGGCAAAAAGGAGAATGATGTTGGGAAGCCAGGGAGTGGGCTTGTTTTCATAACAAAGCCTAAGACTGTCCCAATGCTCTGAATATTTGGGATGGAGGCAGCTAAGTCAGACAAAATCCAGGTTTCGGTGCCAATCCAGACTTTCTTGCCCAGTCCCATCCTGATGCTGTGTTCCAGCAAGGCCTGAGCTGACAGACTATGGGCAAAAAGGAGAATGATGTTGGCTTCGGTCTTGTTAATTAAATTAATGGTGTATTCCAGGTACTGTTTGGAATCGGGGTCTGCAAGGTCTATAGGAATTATCCCCTCGAATGCAATGCAGATGCTGTTATTTTCAGCTATGTTTAAAAATTGCTCCTGGGCTCCACGGCCATATTCATCATCGCTTCCAATGGTGGCAATCCAGTTCCATCCAAACTTGTTGAGCAGCAGGACCACGGCTTCCGCCAGTTTCTTATCGCTGGGAATGGTACGGTAGAAGGATGGGTACAGCTCCGTGTTGCTGAGCGTCTCACTGCTGGCTCCGTAGCTGACCTGCGAGTTAGAGCGCGAGGGAGAAAACAAGGCAAAGAGTGACGCTGGGGGAAGTGCTCACTCTCCACCTTCTTTGCTTAGTCTTGGTGCACGAGATTTTAAACAGTGATGGGTCAGGAGAGTGGGAAGGAAGAACTCATCTAAAGGGATGGATAGGTCCACTGTGGCTGCAGTTACCAACAGAGCCGTAAACTGGCCAAACACTTGTCTCCGGTAGCGCTGTCCTACATGGCCATCTCCTTCCGCTGCCATTTGTGTCCCTCATCGCAGCACCAGCCCTCATCACTAATGACAGCAGTAATTAGCTGCTTTGTACACAGGGTGATGCAGCCGAGGTTCAGAGTATCCCAGCTCAGGGCTGCACTTACCTGACCATTCGAGCTGGCTCTCTTGTGCGAACTGAGAACTTGCCTTGTCAGAGGTGTTTTCATGGGATCCTCCTGGTTTACAGTGGGGGCTCTGTTATTCCCATTTTACATGGATCACAGAGCAGCCCAAGTTATCCCTCTTCTCCCTGGGAAGTTAGACACTGGACTGTGTCCAGGAGGGAAGTTTAATGACTTACCCAGGCAATCTGTAGCAGAGGAAAGACTGGAATCTGCTTTACCAGTCCTAGTTCAGAGACCTATAGCATCGACAGCGTTGGTGATCCAAACCCTTCCCTGCCTGAAAGGGGAATTCCTGCTTCTTCAGGGAGTCTCTTTACCTGTGGGATCCAGACGAAGCTGAACAGCTTGGCTGTTAGCAGGCAGAGGTCTGTCTTGTACGGCCCGATGACGGCGGTCACTCGAGGCTGGTAGTCGCTGTAGTTGCAGAGGACGCCGATGCCCGTGGTGCCGTTCTGGGTCAGGAATAGCAGGCTGGGCTTCAGGGTCACGGCTGGCTCAAGGCACGTGTCGTACATGTCATAGCCCAGCCTTACTCCCGGGAGAAGGGAAGTGGAATTGTTGATCTGATCGATCGCAAACTTCATCCCAAGAGCCCATATTAGCCCATCTATGTATAACCTGCAGTGAGAGGACACAGGAGTGATGTAGCCTGTGAAGGCAGTTACAGTGGGGATCGGCTTATTCCACGTTCTCTGGCACTTGAGCATCCTGTCTGTTGCCAAGGCAGATGTCAGAGCATCCCTGTACCCACAGCCTTTTAAATCTTGTCTTGTGAGTAGAGAGGCTCTGAGCACCTTTCACATCTGATTAGTCTTGTCTGTCCACAAAGACATCTGTGCTTCCTAGGAGAAGAAAGAGAGGTACAGAGAGACCTGTAGCACATTTACTCCTGCTCTTAGCTTTGTGTACTGCCACGAAGGCAGTGGTTCCCACCGTGGTGTGCATGCTAATTCAGGAGAGGTGTCCTTCTTCCTGTCCCTATTCCACTGTATAGCTCAGTGCACTGGGCATATTCCCTGCCTCGTGGCCTGCAGAGATGGAAAGATTCTTGGCCCATGTTTTTCGGTGCTTTGTTGCTGCCAAAGCAGCAGGTAGGACACTAGCATGTCTTTTCATTCTCCTCACAAAGAGCTGTAAGTAGCTTGTAATGTGATGGTGTGAACCACCTTGGTGTAACTGAGTAGGAAACACTGATCACGTACGGGCAAGCCTGCAAGCCAGGTGATACTGTGACCTTGTGCACAATATTGAGTGTCCTTTTGCCTCTTAAAAGGCAATAAATAGCACAATCTCACCATGTCTGCAGAGTGCAGGGCGTGCTTCTCATTCCCTCTGGAAGCAAAAGCAACTGCGTTAGATTCCAAGCACTAAGGAAGCCAGTGCACTAAAAGCTTTCATCGGACGGGGGGTGGTTGTAAGTTTGAGTGCACGGGAGCATCGAGCAAACGCAAACCCATTTTGCAGCTCAAGATCAGAACAGATGGCACAGAACAACCACAGCTCCAGCACCTCAGGGCTGACCTTTGTTCCCATCTCACCTTTAGTGATCAGCTCTGAGACCATCGGTCACTCTCAGAGTTACTTTCCTTTCCCTCCCCAGCCCAGGTGACCAAACTGAACATGCACTAAGGAAGCTGATGTTCCTCTTACCTTTCACACACAAGTGAGGTGGGCTCCGATCGTGCCGTCAGGTTTAGGGTGTCCGTTCCAAAAGGGAACAAGCCTCCTATGATATAATCACCCGGCTTTCTAAACTGAGCTGAGAGGCACGTGGGTTTGAGGGCTGCTGCACGGCCCAAGCTCCAGCACAGCAGCAGGCCAAGGACCATTATTTGTCTGGTTTGGGGAAACCCCATCGCAGAACTGTGGGGCAGGGGATCCAGTCTCATCAGCTCCAGTTCGGTCTCTTTAAGTAGAACTTGGAGAGATGAAAATGTCAGGGAAGAATTTGTTTAGCAAAATGCATGAAGTGTGTCAATAGTCAAATACGCAGCAACACCCTGTGAGTGTTCCTGGTTGCAAATCCCTGGTTTCCTTTACTCAGTGAGCAGCCTTTACTCGAGCAGTGACTTGCTGAATTCTCCGTTGCGGCTCTGGATGCCGGACTGTTGCAGAGGAGGTGGTAGTCCCTGATTAGCACACACATCTTTTGCTTTAACTGCCCCCTGTCCCAGCCAAACGAGAAACATCATCTTTAATGGAATGTGCTTGTAGAAACTGTCCCTGTTGGTGGTTTTCCCAGACAACTGCGTTTGTGACTTGTGTAACACTGGGAGCAGATACCAATCCATGCAGGTTGCTCGTCCAGAAGCGTTGCCAAGGAGAATGAGCTTTGGCAGGAGCAGAATCCCAGTGTGCTTTGTGGAGAATGGGGCCTGTTACCATCATACAACCATTACACGTGGGGAGGATGAGCAGGATAACATTTACTTGCTTCCTGCTGTTACCTGAAGCTCTCTCTCATCTGAGCATTCACTTGTGTGCTCCCTACTTACCAGCAGCCTGCCCTGGAAGAGTGTCCCATCATCTGTTTCTAAACGCACTTCAGCATAAGTTATGTTGCCTGAACTAAAGGGTGGTGGTAAGAGACTTACCCAGCAGTCATTTTTATTATTGCTCTGTTTAAATTCAGGGTCACCTCAGCGTGGGGACCACCAGCCCTTCCTCAGAGCACTGCCAGGACTCACCTGGAGCAGGCCAGCCCTGGGCTGCAAGGTAGGTGACCTGTTCCTCAGCCGTGCTGCTGTCTGTAGGCACTTCTTGTTGCCTCATCTGAAGTTTTCTCCCGCTGGGCTATGGTGGTAACTTCAGTTTAACCCCTTCGGTTTGGGTACAGGTTCCACAGTGTGTCATTTAGGTTGCACCATGGTTTGGTTTTTGTCAGGTTTGAGTTTCAGAAAACAGAATAGCTCTGAATTGGAAATTGAATTCACTGCGTTTTATTGGCTTGTTTTATATTTACACTACATCCTAAGAACTGCTTATAGTGGCAAAGTGAGGTACCTCTTCTGCCACAAGGGTAGAGTATGTATGAAGAGTATTTGGGTACTTCGGGCAACCACAGCGGTACGTTTCTACATATGTTATATAGGTATGTTCATGTATGTTATATAGGTATGTTCATGTATGTTATATAGGTATGTCCATGTATGTTATATAGATATGCTCATATATGTTATATAGATATGGTTATACTGACATCCTTTCAGGGTGATCTTCCCCTTAATGGAATGTTTAAGTATTAGCTTCAACTGTTTAACTTCCAAAAGGTTCCAAATACACATTCAGCTGCACAGAGGGAAGGAAGTGTAGAAGTCACAGACAGAGGGAATCACTTACTGCCACCCGTACTTCCATGTGCAATCAAGTGGCACAGGAGAGAGTTTGTGATGACTTTTGTGCAGAATATTCCACCTCCCTCTAGTGAGGTGCCATTTCTGCATTAAACCTAAAGAGAGCAAAACCATTCTTTCACTCAACATTGTTTGGCATAACTTAAGGCTTTTAATACATGGCAGAGATGAAATACCAGCTGTGTCTGTATCAGACAGCAAGGGAGGCCCAGCATTCTGGAGTGTGTAACAAAGAACTGCTCCATTGTAATACATGGATTTATCCTACGGAGCTATTTAATCACTTTAAGGTGGTCTTAGCAGAAAGGGAGTGATATTTGTGTGTTCACACCACAGCAACTAAACCTCCACTTAGGACATTCAGGGAAATCCTGTTTCCTGTCTTCAGGCAAAAGACAGTGTTGGCAGATGTGAGCTGTCAGAACAGGAGCTCAGTACACAGCATCTAACTTCATCTGGGCTATTCCTGATGGCTGGTTCCACATCTGGCCACTCAACGAACAGACTTTGCTAGTAGAAGACAAGGCATGAATAGGTAGCACCAAGTCGTGCTCCTTCCAACACCACAAACCCACCAAGTGTTCCTAGAAAGGATACTCTGCAGAAGCACGTTATAATTCACATAATTTAATGTCCAGTTAATTTAATCTCCATGAGGTAACAGTGATTTCCTGAATCCTGTAGTGTTCCATCAGGCCAAAACACCTCTGCTGAGATACAGTCAAATCACGTGAGCTTCTCCCTCCTCCCCAAATAATCATGACATCCTGAACTAAGTGTGGTGCTGTTCCAGCCTTCAGAAAGCTGAAGTAAACTCATTGTACATACCTGGGGCGTGTGTGTGCACACCCGCTGCCTGTGACACACAGGGATTTGCAACAGGGGCCGCACAGAGCAGTGACTTCCAGTACGAGTCTGGGTTTCTGCCCGGACACAGAAGTCATTTTGTGAGCGTTTGACACATTCATTAAACAGAATTAATGAGAGCACAATTGAGGAGCATGGCTGGATGGACAGGATTGAGCAGTACGCAGTGAAAGCTGTTCTACATCCCAAGGTGCACAAAGCAGAGAGGAAGGGGCAGGGAGGCTGCACAGAAGGTCAAGCTTAATGCATCCACGCCCGAAGGAGGGGCGGTCTCTCGCAGTAAGGACACAGGGCACCGTTTCCCCCTCCAGTTCCCGGGGACACAGGATTAGCAGCAGTAACCAAATGAGTCTGTGACCACATGGAAAAGCGCTTCCTTTCAGCCACGTATCACTCCGGGTTCTATTGTCAAGGTTAAAGCAAAACAGGGGGAACACACACACACACCCCCCAGATCTGTTCAAGCGAACAGCTTGTAAACGGAACTGGCAAGGGGAGCTTTGCTGCAGAGCGTGTTCAGACCCCGCACCTGACTCTTGTGCTGCCACACGAGGGCCCAGCTCCTGCTGTGAATGCACAGAAGCTGCTGCAGCTGCAGTTTGGCTTAAAGAAGAATCAAGCCCAGCCTAGCCTGGAGACTTGAACCGAGGGGCTTGGAGCCACATGAGCTTTAAGGTCTGTTCCAACCCAAACTATAAGTCCATAAGCACGCTGTGCTTCTCTTAGTGTAGAGCCAACACACATACACATACATATAAAAAGTAGGTATTTTTCTCTTAGGGAGCGAGGCACCCTGAATAGCTTTGCCAGCTCCAACCTGGAACAGGAAAGGGAATGCGACCACGGACAGCGACCCAGACCCCGCGTGCCTGGGAAAACCCCCTGTTTCCACCCCGTTCCCCTCCTCCTGCGCGGAGGCGGCTCCCGAGGGTCCCTGCCTAGGGGAGGTCGAGCAGCTGGTGCTGTGCGAAGAGCTCCTGGGTGATGCTGTAGACGTCGCAGATGTGGGGCAGCGCCTCCCCCAGCACAGCCACGGCGTCCTCGGCCGTGCCCACGTTCATGGTCTCCAGGAAGGCGTTTCGCGGCGGCAGCGCGCAGAAGGCCACGGTGGCGGCCTTGCGGATGACCCAGGGGTGGTAGGCGGCCAGCGAGGCGTTGTACGAGTCCGTGCAGATCGCGGATGTCCGCGAGTCCTCCCCGCCCGTCCTCAGCCC